CCTGCCTTACCCACTACTCACCAATCAGTCTCTCCCTTGTAGTCACCTGCAGTGTAGGCATTCATTACAATAAAGTCCATTTTTTCAAGGTGGAATGAGATAGGCAGGACTTATACAATTTGAAAGTCAGGCCTTGGGTAGTATTTTGGAACAGGGGGATGTAAGGGTTCAGGGATATAATTCTTTTGAAGTTTGCAGAGAGACAGGATGGTTAAGAAGGCATTTAGCACTCTTGCCTTCACTGCTCAGTCCTTTGTGTATCAGAGTTGGGAAGTCAAATTGAAGTTATACAGGATATTGGTGAGGCCTTTTCTGGAGTACTGTGTCCACTTTTGATCACCTTCTTGTCAGAAGAATATTATTAAGCTGGAGAGGGTTCGGAAAAGAATTAGCAGGATATTGCCAGGAATGGAGGCTTTGAGTTATAAGGAGAGGCTAGATAGGCTGGGATGTTTTTTCGCTGGAATATAGGAGGTTGAAGGGTGACCTTAAAGATTTATAAAATCATGAAGAGTATAGATAGGGTGAGTGATTTCAAGACTAGGAGGCATACTTTTAAGGTGAGAGGAGAGATTTTAAAGGCATGAGGGGCAATTTGTTTTCACACAGTGGTTCGTGTGTGCAATGAACTGCCAGAGAAAGTGGTGAATGCAAGTCCAGTTACAACATTTAAAAGACATTTGGATAAGTCCATAAGTAAGAAATGTTTGGAGGGGTATGGGACAAATGCAGGCTAATGGGACTAGTTTAGTTTGGGATTATGGTTCGCAGGGACTGGTTGGACTGAAGGGTCTGTATCTGTGCTGTATGATTCCGACTCTGCAATTGAAACTAACAAAATTTCCTATTTCAAAAACATGCTGGTAAAGCTCAGCAGGTCTGGCAGCATCTGTGAAGGAAAAAACAGTGTTAATGTTTCGGGTCCGGTGACCCCTCCTCAGAACTGAAAATTCAGAAAATTTCCTATTTTCCTACCTCCTCGTTCTCAAATTCTATTTCAGCATATTTAATACATTTTTTTCCAATTGTCAATCTGCAGATGGTGTAGGTACACAGTTTTTGATTTTTCTTTCTTCACTCAACACTTAGACACCAGATCTGAGATTGACATTGAATATAATTTAGAGAATAGTTCAGATCAGAGGCAGAATCTTGCTGTGAAGAAACATCAGATATCAATGACCTGCAGCCAAGAAGGGGACAAGTGTCAAACAGGTGCTAATTCAGAGGATAAGGTTACTTGTGGGTTGACACAGGATGAAGATTTCAGTGGGGTGGCCTACAGAAAAATGCTGATGTGTGCACATTAATGGTGGAATGACCAGCCTGCCTGAAAGCTGGCAGGATGACCAATGTCTCTGATTTCACTGTAGCACAAGCAGTAGACACTCCAACTCTGCTGCAGTAGAAGTTCACATGGCAATAATGTGGGTTCAACAGTGCTGCCAGAGCTGGAGAAAATGCAAAAGCAGTCCAGCAACTTGCCCTCTAATTAATTGGTGAGGTACCACTGTTTGTGTCCTGATTGGTTCCGGGGACTATGAGCTGACTGCCCTTTCTGAGGATTACTGCTTTCATCCTCCTCTTGCTATCAGCCCATTACTGCCCTTGTCATTGTGCGTCAGCCTCACAACCCAGACTATTGTCACCTTGCCAAGGGGTGCAGTCTGAAGCTTAGCCTTCTAGCATCTGAGCCACCTGAGCCTGGGGTCTGTCCTCCAGGACAATCTGCAGTAGTGCTCTTGAAATGAATAGGTTCCTACCAGCCTCAGAGAAAGCACTGTGTAAGAACACCAGGACAGTGAGACGGGCACTAACGGATTAATGACTTTCTACGGAATACTGAAATGGGTTGATTTATTGAAGTCAGCTTGCAATATTTGTTTTATGGTGGATTCAGGTGAGAGATGGGCAATTCCTTTAAGAAGTCAGATGTCTGAGGCAGTATTCCTCTCGGAGCTTTAATGTAGGAGGATTGCTCCCCGAACACCGAGCGCAGCTGTGACCGCCCCCTAACCACACACACTACCTCTTTTCGCTGATGGAGCAGTGCAGCTGTGAATACAATCTTTTAAAGTGCCTTCAGCACATGCATTCACTTGTTGTTGAAACCACTGAACACCCCCACTGGGAACAGCCGGTGCAAACCCATTAGAAACGAGCCTGAGCGCGCATGATTCAGTTCGATCTTGCTGGAGTGCGTCCAGCTGATGAACGTATTTTCATGATGACCAGAGAAGAGGCGGCTGGAGCAGTGGGATCGGAAATGGCAGCGATAACATCAAATCAGCAGTGCACGTTGACTGACATTACAATCTGCTGAATTTGCCAGCACATGTATGCTGCGATCAAGTTAATGGCCTTACAAAACTTACCATCCGGCACAACCAGCCCCCTCCATGTGTGTGCTGTCACCATAGGTATCAATTTTTGATCTGAAATAGCATCAATGAGATCAAAAATATAGGCTGCACATAACTGAATTTTGAGACCTTCCTTCATCAAATTTCACATACGCATGTTATATAAATATATTTTTCCCTCCTCCATTGATTTTGTGTTTTTTTTATTTGAATTATTATGCTTACGTATTTTACAATATCACTTGACTTACAAAATCCAGCCTTTTAAAATTGGTGGCAAACGATCGTAATTACTAATGAGCTAGAAGAAGGCTGCCCACGACGACCGAGCGATATCAGTGACATTAATACCTTGAACAGATGATATCTAGTTTTATTATTGCGACAGCTTTGGGGATCTGTGGTATCTAATAACAGATATGTCATCAGGCACGTGAACCAGCTCACCTTACTGAAATCTTTCAGAGAGGAACATCAAATGTTTCCCTGTGAACATTTGTTTGTTGTTGCCTTTGATCCCCCACTCCTCCCTAAAATAACTACCTGCTGTTAACATCCACTTTTTTTACAATTTTACAGAAAGCAAAATGTAGATTGGATCAGGTAGACCTTGTAATTTCACAAATGATCTTTGAAAATGTTATTTGAAGTATCAATGGTACTCTTTTCGTAGAGTTCAGCAATAGCTATTTCAAACATTAGTTTTCCAGGACGAGAGAATTTGTTTAACAGTAATGACATTACTGATGCTGTTAAAAATACAATTGTACCTCCTTCAAGGCTTTTTAAATGTTTTTCTAAGTATGAATACTCACGTGAAAATGCAAATTCACATCATTTCACTCTTTCTCGTTGGTTTTTTTTCATCTGAGAGGACTGGAATCATGAAACTTATGAAGGTGTGGGTAGCACTGACAGCAAATTTCTGGGAATTTCCACATTAACTATGCACGTGCAGATGCCAGAAGTTCCTGTCAGGTTCATTACGTACTGACAGGGAAGGCCACTGCTGCGACGACAATTGTAGTTTTGTATTTTGCCTGTAAATACATCTGACCAGCCTAAACACACTGGTTTATGCTGTCTTTAGATAGAGCCAGGTAAATGTGTTGGGCATGCTGCGATTTCCTTCAACCATTTTCTATAATTAAGGCTTAATGGCTAAACCTGGCCATGTCAACCCATTGTATATAAAAGACCAGCAATTGTAGATTATAAAAATTACTGAGGCAAGGCAGAATTTATTGCGTAACAGGTTTCCTGCCCTGCTACCCAAGTTATTAAGTCACTAAAAAGTCATTAAAGAATGCATCCCTGCTGATTTAAGGAGCTTCTTAACTATTTACTGTTCCACAGCGCATTAATTGTTTGCAGAAGAGACTCCCACTCCTCATTCAGATGGAAATCTTGCCTCAGAGTTGCTGACCAATCTGACTGGCAGCGTGCAGTTCCAATAGTGCTAGTAGCAGCAGTAGTCAGGGCTGGGATTACAAGCAGTCATAGAGCTGTACAACACAGTCTCCAGTGAAACCGAATTTCAATGTCAATGCCCCCATTCTGAAAATGATTAGTTTGGGTCTTTTGGATTACTAATCCAGTTATGTCATCAAAATGCCATCATCGCCTCCATTTCTTGATGACAAGATGTTTTGCAATTTATACCCTGTGGTTGAAGTACATTCTTTTCACCAGAAAAATGGCTGGAGCTCAATCCAAAATTTTGATAGAACTACTAACATCAAAACACAAGAGACTGATTCCTGCATCAATAAAACTGTAATTTTTTTTTACAAAGTACAACCCACTTTATTGCACTGTTTTCAAGTATATAAAACATTTTTCATCATTTTAAAATATCTACTTATTTGTTGCTATGGAGGGTCATTTTGGTAAATGTAAAAGTGAAGTACTCTGATTCATTGAATTTTGCCCTGTTTGTCATACTATCCTACATCATACAAAATAAATAACTGTATATTTTGTCTTTGGATACACTCAGATACACAGATGGTGTACCAAGCTGGCATTGATTGAAAATACTGGAGTCTGAGCAGTTCTTCTACTTATGAACCTATTCAAGTGACATTACAAACTCCGCAACCTCTAAACAACAATATTAATGCATAACACGTGGTAACAGGCTGATCGAGATGCAGCAAAACATGAATAAATATTTTTTCTTTATAGAAAGAGAATGTTGTCAAAGTCCTATTGGACCATAGCGCTGCTCTGAGAGAAAGCTGGCTTAGCCTAAGGGTCACCATGCCTTGAGACAGGAGAGGTTGAGAAGGAGATTCCATCATGGTAACCTCAGCTGGTGGAATTGAGTGCATGCTGTTGGTGTCGCTCTAAATCACAAGCTGGCTGGCCAGCCAACTGAACTAACCTACCCCCTACTTTGCTAATAAATGAGGTATTATAAAGAAAATAATTCCCTGAAAAGCAAAATAACTGTGTGATAATCCATTTCTTAATAAATACTGATCAATGTGATTTTCTGATATTTTGTCAGTGTGAGGTTGGGTGTTAGGTAGCAATTTATATGCCACCCCCCTCACAAAGTCAACTCAACCTATTACATGCCAATTGGCTCATTAACAGATGAGCACTGATACGTTTTTTTTTGCTGCATCACAGGCCTCAGAACTAACATTCCTGGTTGCCAGAATCTACCAGCCAATCAGAAACTTGCAGTTTCTGAATCCTAAGGATTGCCAAGTTACATCTGCACCTTGGGGGATCTAGCACTGAGGTGGTAAGTAATTTGTATGCACTTCATTAGTGAGGTAGTGAGAAGGGTGTGAGTATCTTTTCAGGGCTAATTTGACAAATTATTCTCCATTCTTGTATGTTGCATTAAGGGTGAAACTACAGTATCTCTCAAAACAGGCTTCCCTTTGCCATTAATTGTAAAAATAATCTTATTGCATATATTAATATGAGGTATTGCAGTTGCATTTGGCACTAGTACTCATGCCTGTGAGTTAGAGCCTTGCAGGCCCAAGCCACATTCTGGGATTTTTGAACATAATCTCAGCTGAAATATCAATTGAATTGCTTATAGGGGAGCTGCACTATTTGAGGCACAAAGCAATTTTTGTTCAGGTGATGTAATGTGGTGATTTTTTGAAAATGACAAATCTCCTGGAATACTCGTGCTTTAACACCAACGCAAAAACTGATTTTCTGGTCATTCATTAAATTGACATTTGTGACCTTTTGCTGTGCCTACAAAACACCAAAAATATATTTCAAAAGTTGTTCAGTCGATAAAGTTTTTCTGAGCATTTGAAATGCATTATTTACATGTAAACTGGTTCTTTCCTTGGACACCATTGTTCTGAGAATTGCAATCTAAATATTTGGTTGTTAAAAAAAATAGAGATTAATCTTTCTGGATTTTTCACCATTCCTCAGAAAATATATTCTATCCAGTGTGGTACTTGCAACATGTTATAATTTGCTGTAAAACGGCATGGAGAACTGTTGTAATTAAAACAATAGAGAATAACGAGTACTTTCAGCATCCATCCCCACCCCTCCTCTCATTTACGTAATGGGAAAATCAACTTCAAAAAATATTCTGTTGTGATGGGTTATTTGCAATTTTAACATTTCACCCTGGGTTCTCTGTGCTGGATGGGGAGCAGCTTAACTTATGTTCACTATGGGACAGATGTAACTCCAATTAAATTCCTGCAACTAGCCATCTTTTCCATTCAAATAGCTCCAACTTTCGATGCACTTCACTTGTTTATAACACTATGTGGAATGCACTAAGCCCAACAAATCTTTGCTGGTTTTTACATTTTGTGATTTTTAATGACCCTAGTTTACATGTCTCTTTATTTCTCTGTTCCTACCTCCCTTGTGCTCCCCTCCTATTAAATTCATCAATGCTATTTGGTTCAACCACTATGTGCCAGTGAGATGCCAAATGTAAACAAATTATTCATTCATTACATCATTTATCTTATTCACATTTCTTACCTGTAATTGTGGAAGAATCTAGAATCAATTTCTTCAACTCAACACAATTGATTCATCATAAATTTGCAAATTCCTAACAAGTCCTCAGTTAGCATTCTGTTTTCCAAATTAAAGAGCCTCACCCTGGACACACTTTTGCTTGCGGAGCACAATCTTAAGTTCTGACAATATCCTTGTAGTTCTTTTCTCTGCCTTCTCTAATGCTGCAATATCAGAACAACATATGGCACTTTTGATCTAACCAGAATTCTATGTAGTTAACAGTATTCTTCTGTTTTTGTGTTGTATTCCTCTTGAAATGAGCACCAGTACTTTGTTTAATGGAGGAAAATATATCTAGGAATGTACTCTCCTCTGAAGCAAAAACTGCTCTTTGAAGGTGACCAATTGGTGAAATATTTTAAGAGATGCTTGGTGGTACGGACCTTAAACACTGCTGAAAGGAGTTTTGAAGTTGAAACCTCTCATCTTGCTCTACTTAGAACTCGGATGCAAAATGGGGGACAAAAGAGGTACCATCTTACAGAGCGTGCAAAGGGAGTGCTGATTGGTGGAGCCATCATTGACATGGCAGCAAGAACAGTAAACTGTCAACCTTTAATTCGCAGAACTAGGCAGGTAGATCTGACTGGTCAGGGAATTGCTGTGGCAATATAGGAGAACTTGGCTGCCCGAAACACATGCTCCCACGCATTCCACCAGCCTAAATACCCCCGCCCCCAACCCAGACTTGACCCTCCCTAATATCCCTAGACTCGACAACTCTGCCCCCGCTCTTTACCATGTTAGGCACAATACTAATCCTAACCCTGCCGCCCCTCTCTGCCTCAGGATGCCCAGCCTTGACTGGAACATCTGGGCCATTTAAGAGCAATTCTTGATTTTATTAGGCTTTAAGAAATTTTTTATAGCTTGACAACTTTTCTTATAATTTTTCTTAACTGCTGTATAATCAGGTAAGGAACTAGAAGAGACTATGATCATCAATCTATCAGCAGCCATGCTGTTTCAAATTTGTATTGAATTATTTGGCAAAGCACGATTTTTACTTTAATTACAGTGTGATTCAAAATAAAATTCCCTGTTCAAGTTTAAAATGGTTCCTTATTACTCATTTTGAAAACCAATACATTAATCTCTTTCCTAATTAAACTCCGAGACAAAAGTACAATGAGATTGAGCATCTTTTCTGCAAACAAAAATATTGATTCAAGCATTTTCTGTTTTCTTGTTCATTGAACTCAATAATTAAATAAACGATCAGATGGTCTGTATTACAGCAACATAACAAACTGGAAATATTGATTCTGGCATAGGATTCTGAGCAAACTATGTGCTCATTTCTCCGGAATTGACAATTCTTTAGATTGCAATGCTTCCTTGTGACCTGGTTGAGAATAAATCATAAAATGTGTTATATTAAACAAGATCCATGTCTGTTGCAGAAAACCACAATTGAGCTTAAGTAGAAAACAAAACACAAAGTGAATATGATAATGAATAAATTTAACTGAAAGGTTTAGTCTAAACACATTTATTGCAGATATATGGAAAAGAGAAAAAGAGCAGGAGTAACTCACTTGCTCTTTGAAAGGATCGTTGCAGACTTAATGGGTAAAATAACTTCCTTTAGTTCTGTACTTTTCTATAATTCTAAAACACAATGGGTATTTGCAGCTGCTTCTCAAGAATATGTAATTTTTACACCTGACATAATATTCAATAACAATCGATGGTAAATGATGGAAATACTCAGCAGGTCAGGCAGGATCTAAAGGGAGTTAATGTTGTGGGTTGTGACATTTCATCAGAACTCTAACAATTTATTTGCTTCGACCACATGCCGACATTTAGAATATTCAGCACATTTCAAAATTGATTCCTTGACGATACGTTATTTGAATATTTTGATTTCAAATATAGTAATTTTGCCAATTCCAGCATTGATCAACTCACACAATATTATTGAATTTAGCAGATTAATAGCTGTTTAAAATTCCTAGAAGAAAAGATGTGGTAACAATAAATTGTGTTGGCCCACTAAGGACATTAATTTCTATCACATGTAAATATATCTTACAATTCTTAATGCACAATAAAACAGATACACAAACAATAGTAATATTTTACTGCTATGTAATTTTGATGTCTGGTTCTTACTGATGTTATTCACCTTACATTGTGTGATGTGTGATTGAATAAATTGAAGTCTAACATGTATAAAGATGACCACTGTGTACCACTGTGACCATGTTATAATTGATAGATAAATGAAGACGTAATATCTTTTTAATTGTGTTTTAGGGTGATAAATGCATTTCAGTGGTTATATTGATATTTAAGGTGTAAGTGCTAAAATAATAGTTTTCTACCATGTCCATTCTCATGAGTTGATAACTCACTAGCTGATTCCCTAGGGTCAAATTCAAAATAAAGGATCACGTGACAGATGAGGGGGAATTTCTTCCCTCAAGAGGTTGTCAACCTGTAAAATTCTTTATCACAGTGGTGTTGAGCTGAGACATTAAGTACATTCACGGCTGAGGTAGACAGATTCTTGTCCATTAATGGGAGCAAGACTACGGGGAAAGGGCAGGAATGTGGAACTGAGGATTATCAAATCAGCCATGATCTCATTGAATGACCATGGTGTGGAGGTGCTGATGTTGGACTGGGGTGGACAAAGTCAGAAGTCACATGACACCAGGTTATAGTCCAACAGGTTTATTTGAAATTGCACTTCACCTGACAAAGGAGCAGTGCTCCAAAAGCTTGTGATTGCAAATAAATGTGTTGGGCTATAACCTGGTGTCGTGTGACTTCTGATCTCATTGAATGGGGGAGTAGACTTGGTGGGCTGAATGGCCTACTTCTCCAATGTCTTGTCTTATGGCTTACAGGTGCACAATCATTGTCGGATAGTTGGTTGGCTGACAGAGAAGTACAAGCACAACTTTTATTTTGCAGTTTGCTATTGAATTGATATTGTTTTATTGCAGCATGGATTCCAGATCAGGCAGACCACTTGCCTTTAAAAACTGTTGCATGGCATCATGACATGTGACATTTAAATATTTCCACTTCAGTTTCAGTGACAGTCTGGGTAATGGAGTCAATGTAATGTTCAGTCAGCCAGCTATGTGTATGTAACATACAGTAACTTCAGGATGCATTATTCCCAGCCTATCAATATTATAGCTAAGTGGTTAGTGTTGCAAATCAATTTTGAGGCATCTGTCTTAACAAGATCTAATTTTTTTTGTGGCATATATTACATGTTGTTATATAGAATCTAGAAAGGAGACGTTAGGATAGGAACACAAAAGCTGGCAAGGAAGTCTGTTTTTAAAGAGGAGCTTAAAGGAATGGGGAGAGAGGCAGAGACATTTTGGAAAGTAATTACAGGCATTGGGGTTAAGACAGCTGAAATAATAGCCACCAACAGTGAGGTGAAAGAAGCTGGGGACGCATAACAGCCAGAATTTGATGAGCATAGTCTTTTGAAAGACAATAGGACTTGGGGGTGATAGATATGCAAAATTATGGAGGGGTGAGGACACAAAAGGATTTGCATAGCAAGATGAAAATTTCACATTCAAAGGCATTGATGAGTTAGGAACCAATGTAGGTTAGTGAGCAAGGAATAAAAGGCAGAGAGGATTTGGTGTTATTTAGGGTATGGACAGCAAGAAAGCTTGGAATAGTTGACACCTTCAAGGATAAGGTATACATACTATAAGTCAACAACAAAATGTAGTCATTGTC